CATCGCAGATGACGAGACTAGCTCTCGCTTTGCCGCAGCTCACAGCAAACGGGTTAGACAACTGATGAGCCTCACTTCCTTCGCCATTTCCACCGGCAACCACTTGGCCACTCGTCGCACCCCATTTCCATTCCACAATACGATGATTCGATTGATCAGCGACATACACATTTTGATCATCATCAACATACAAACCCAATTGGTTTGAGTGTTGATTGATTCCATTCTGTTGCCATCGAGCATTCGGATGAATGTCAGTTGATAGTGAGGATACTGAAACGAAATAAAACTTGAGCTGCGAATTTGTTGTCTTGACTGCTGAGAAAGATTGAATTTTATTTAAAAAGCCAAACAACGGTTGCTCCAAACAGAGATCGACGAACCGCGGTGCCACGTCGTCGCGTCCTCTGTGCGGTGGTAGTGGCGCACAGTGAGATTTGTTTTTTTTCGTCTTATGAGAGAACTGTTCTTTCTTTGAAAAACATAACTAAATCTATAAAAGTTAGTGACTTTCATTAGTTTTCTGAAATTTTGAAATACTCTAAATGCATTTCATCGACTATATTTGATGTTATGCAAATCATATAGCGATTTAACGTATTTCTAGAACGAACAACACAGATTTTGTATACGTTTGTAAACAACCTTATTGTGTAATATACGATCGTATATTTTTGTAATCATATACGAAATAATATGATCATATGTGTAGACATATGAAGAAAAGCTTACACACTGTGCTGGGCATCTCAAAGTTAGACACTGAGAAAAAAAGGTATCATACAAAACCTTTTTCAATGTAATAAGCAATCACTTTTATCTGGGTAAATCATCGTATTTATGTATGTATCACGCGAAGATGAACGATAATCATGTTGAACGACGTAAACCGCCGTGTCGTTCGATTTATGGCTGCCTCCAACTAGAGATGCTTCCGTATTGTAACAACATTATGTCATTTTTTTGCTTTTTAAAAATGACCTAAAACATTATACAGTGGAGCATTAAATTAGAAATAAGTTACTTTTCATATTGATATCTTGCAGTAACATTGTCTCATTCAAGTTTAGACATACGAAAAAATCTCACTGCCATGTAAATCGATGGTTGTGTGAACTTTTTTAATCTAGTTAAAAATGATTCAAATAGTCAAATAGATGCAAATTTGTGACGGTATATAGTTTACATGAATGCTCAACAAATTTTCTAAAAACTCATCCTTCAATCTTTGTTTTGAGAAAACGGAGTGGGATCAGGTGGGGTTCTGTACTGAACAGGTGAAACGACGGTGGTGTAAAGCTTTAACGAATTGCCGTTGGCGGAGCGTCTTTTTAGCTGCCATGTCGATCTCTGATGCACACTAGTTGCAATTAGAATTGCCATTTTTAGAAACATTTCAGAAAATACAGAATGTGAAATATTAAAAAAAACCGCCTTGCACGTTATGTACAGGGAATGCTCTAAGCTATCAATTGGCAAAACAATATTTTGTATTGTTGCTGCCTTCAAGATACACGACTTGTAAAAGAAATAACCTTTTAAATGATAAATATTGACGAAGGTTGCTTCCATAAGAGATTGTACGACATAAAATGACAACTGGAACTGCCAACTTACATCACACATAGGAGCGCGGATCCATTGTTCTGCTTATTTTTGTTTCTGTCTGATATTTGACATCCTCGAGCAAATCAATATGAAAATATAGCCTATATACAATTGTCTTGATTTTTTATCACAAGAATTGTTTTCAGCTTCGATAGGAATTCCCTTTATTATAAAGCAATGTAATACAAACATTTCCATATGTAAGCAAACTGACACATTATAGATCAAGATTATTATCATAAAACTTTATAAAGAGTCATGCAAAGGGATATCTACAATCATAATTTATCGAAAGTTCATTTTTAGTTATTGGCAAATCAAATAAATAATCCTGTTGATAATCAATTAAAAGAAAATAATCAATCATTAATAGCCTTAACATGGGTATCTAAAAAAAAAGAACTTGAATCTATACACTTGTAGAATTTGAATTTAATCTTGGTACTGTTACATGTCGAGCATCATAAAGTAGACCTAAAAATAAAAGTCTCATAAAATAGTATGAATATATATTTTCAATATTTATACCAGCAATTGATGCCGTCATTAATGAAACCATACTACCAGCAATTAAAGCTCGTGGTGCAATTTTTGTTAAAGCACGTTTTCGTGTAGGAGCAAATACTCCAAGTGTTGCTAATGCAATACCCATTGAACCAAAATTAGAAAATCCTATTAACAAACTTATTCAATAACACATTAAAATAAAATATCTGAAATATTTACCGCATAAAGCATAAGTTAAAATAACCAATGAACTATCCTATTACAAAGAGACTTTATGTATTGTTCAAAAGAAAAACAAAATATATTTACATCCCATAACATAGGAACATCATTTGGTAATGTTAATGTACCATTTAAATACAATGGAAATGTATTGTTTAATATAAGTTCATTGCGTAATTGACGTATTTTACCAAGTTCTTGATAAGCAATAAACTATTTAATGAAACAAAGACATCATAGAATAGTTATTGCATTAGAAATTCTTACTTCGTTCAAACTAATTTTTATTCCAATAAGTTTTGATGATAGAAGACAATCACAAAGTGGAATACCAATTATCATTGAAAATGGATAAAAAAGTAAGCCAAGTAAAAATTGAAAATTTATTTCCGGATGATGAAGAAGATTAAAAAACCATGATATTGTCACATCAGCAAAATGAAGAACACTGATAAATGCTATTAAATTAGCAATTAAAAAACCACAAATTTTTAAAGTATGTCCTGCTCCAGTTAATAAGGCATCAATGACATTGTGTTGTTCTCTAGATAAAAATTATATATTTAAGTCTTTTGAACAAAATTTAGATTGTTCATTATTCTTAATTTTGACTGCAAAAATTGCTTTTGAATCAATGTTCTAGTCTGTTTGTTTATTAGGATAGAAGTTTTCACTATGAAAAAACTTTACTAATTGTAAAAGCTCTTGGACAAATATTAGATGCAATGTTACTCGAGTGGAAAATGATAGAAAGCTTATTCCTTTATTTGTTAGATGAACTACGTATGATTTCTACCTTAAAACAAAATATTTCTTCGACTAATAATTACGCACTAGAAACGGAATTGGTTTCTGTTTTTTCAAACTCGTGAACGACGCACTGGACATTTCTTTAATTTAGTTATTGCTTTGTTGGAAAAAAGTCAACATCTAGACTAAGATGCAACCTTTTAAAGTGACTTTTGATAATTATATAAACAAGTTTATTGGGTCTTGCTAACAAGAGAAGTTCCACCACTAATTAATCATTTTTAAGTCACGTCTATGTGCATCACGTAAGCTATAATGAACTATAAATAAGCTGAAAAGAGTTCGAGTCCTTAGCTTGTTGCAGTCAAGATATTTGTATTTTTACGGTATTGTTCAAGCCAATATCGTAGTTCTTGTTCAGAACACTTGAAAAACTGATTGTGGAATTTCTGGTCCAAACTTTTCATAGAGACGGAACTTAATGAGAATAGTTTATTGTGTAAGCTTTTTCTACTCAGTTTTCTTGATGTTCCTGAAGTGGACCACAACATTTATTCCAATAATATGACACTAATTTAGCATTTTCTGAGCAAGAACCTCAAGATTCGAAGTTGTTTCATGATATTCATAGCTCATTGGAATCTAATTAATGTACATAGTCCTGACTCAAAAGTTCGAAACTTATTCGATAGTTAAAATTTTCTTTTATGCAAAATTTCAAAACTTCCAGAAATTAGATGTCTACAAAGAATACGTACATTGGAATTAAGTTTTTTTTCTCTAAGTAAAGTTTAAGCAAATACACAATCCAAACATCAGTACAGTTTAAAAGAACATGATTTTTAATACTAATTAAAACATACGGTAATGGAGCATTTTTTACTGTCTTCCATGTGGTTTTTGAATGATGTGTTTCTGGTAATAAAAGTTTTGCGAATCCAAGTGCACCTGGTGCAGCCATAACACTAGCAGCAATTAAATGATTTGCAGGAACACCAAAAAAAATAAACGTAGCAAGGATAGATCCTAATATAAAATATATAACAAAAAAACAACCAAGTATAAGTTCATTTAAAAACCTGACATTGTCGAGAAACCACCAACTAATACAGCATGAAGTTCTGATATTGTCATTGTAGGTATTAAAGGCATAATCATTAATGGTGCTTCACTCATTCCAACAAATATATTTGCAGCTGCATTCATAGACTAAGTTAAGCAAAATTCTTCTTCATTTTTCTTAAAGTAAAAATTATCAATAATTACTTCAGCTGCTGTTGTATTTAAACAGTTTTGCATGAGCCATGCAATTTTTCCAATAACATATTGCATCGCACCCAAATAATAAAGTACATTAATGACAGATCCAAGAAAAATAATTATTGAACTAACCTAATATACAAAACAACGACGAAGAGACATAAAAATGTATAGAAACAATATTTCGTTCATTTTAAACATATACGTACTTTAAATACGAAAAAATGTTCTTGATAAGTTTTTCCAAAAACGAAAACTGCTCCACTATCAGCATTACTAAATATAAATAAATGTTTTCTTCATAGAAAATTATCTAAAAGAATAAATTACTGCATAAATTTTGATACTTCTTTTCCAAGAAACTCAAAAAATTGAAAACCAAATTCACTACGTATGACAATAGCAGCCAAAAGAAATTGAATAACAAATGAATAAAATATTGTTGTCCATCGAATCTAAATTCTCATGATATTATAATATTAAACATATGTATAATCAAATTGATGACCAAGACTGTTTTCCTACCTACTCGATGAGGATGTTTTGAACCTAATTAAAAAAAAAGACCTCATGTTTAAAATTCTATAATAATCAAAAAAATTTAAATACCGATGGTACCAATTAAAATCAATATGACAATACCAATAAGTGAAATATAATTTCGATTTCTTTCTACTGTTAATCCGACATAAAGAGCAATAGTAATAAAAACTAAGAAATGCCAGATCCTATTGATAAAATCATAAATATTATTGTTTTCTATTTTTAAAGAACAATGAAAAAAGTAAAGTAGAAATGTGCGATAGTTTAATAAGCTGAATCAAACTACTGATGATCTCGATCCATTGACCAGCTCCTTATATATGAGTTGGATTATTGAATACCATGTTTATTCTATCCAATTGATTTATCAGAGCACCATTTCATGTCGCGAGAAATGAAACGAACTATCACAAATATATTGAAAAAGATAAAATTAGGTTTTTAGAAATCTCAGCTCATATGATGAAAAGAGTTGGATGATCAATATGAGCTCAGTTAGGTAATATAGAGCTGTCACAAATCTAGTAAAGTTAATTTATTATTAAGCTTCTAGTCCAACATCATACATAAATGATGCCGCAGCATATCAAAATATTTTTATAATTTTCTTTTTTTAATAAATGAATGATACAGTAACGTATGTACATTCTATGTTGCATGTTTGTTCGCACGATCTCCGGGATACTGACAGTAGATTGCCAGTCAGAGAATAACCAACTATCAATATGTTACAGTAGAATGACAATCAGAAAGTAGTTAACCGCATAAATATCAAACTAACGCTGGTTAATTGGTGGTATACCGGTGATTTTTTTGCCATTACCGGCAAGTATCACTGACATAACGTATATAACATACTATAAAAAAAAAAGTTCAAAAATATAAGCTCCTCATCTAAGAGTTTATGAAAGAGTCAATTACACTCATAAGCGTAAAAATATTTATATAACTGTAATTGACAGATACTGAAGGTTTATTATTCTAGACTTATTTTCTACAGTGTATCGAAGGGAAGGAGAGGAGGCAAAATGATTACCAAGAAAGTCTATGTCTAATATTACGAATTGCAATGCATATTTCATTTTCTTCGGTTGATGTTGAAATATGTTGATATAAATGTTCAATAGAACGTCCTAGAAATTTTTCCCATACAATAACGAATATCGTAAAAAATACCAAAAACAATAAAGCAAAACCTAAATGAATTTCACTCATAAAAAATGATTTTTTTTTTTATTAAATTATACCAGAATTGCCACGAAAAATATTTCCACGGATAGGAAAAGCAGATGTACCATATCTATTACTCATAGCAAATCCAAAATAGATTATAAAACCAATTATAAAGATTAATTTCAATCCAAAAATTGCTAAAGTCTATACAAATTCAAAATCTAAATAAGTGATACAAGATAAATATTTTCGTACTTTTTCTTTTTCAATTAGTTTAATTATTCGTTGACGAATTTTTAATACAAATAAACCAATACGATGACCTTCGCCAGATAATTTTTCAAAACCTACATTATTTTTATCTTCTTCTTCCTCCTCCTCATCATCATCTTCGTCTTCTATATCTTGTAATTTGGTTGTTACTATTATTCCATGTCTAGTATTTATTCTAGATGATTGTTGATCCAACACAAATGCAGAATTTTCAAGACCATTCGAGCGCTAAATAAAATAAAAATTTCTTTTATTTTTTGTTTCTATTCAATGAAACAAAATTTTACCATTTTGAATTTGCTATTCACTTGCTCAAAAATTTACTTGAGAAAAATGAAGACGCTGTGAAGAAATGTAAACAAAATACGCAAAGAAATATTATCTACGATATCTATTACAATGACTATTGTTTCATTTATTTATTCTTTCTATTGTGATAAGATAATACCGTGTGTAAATTTGATTTACTCGAATCATTACTTGGTATCAAATGCATTGCTTAATCTAATAGTTGAAAATAAAAATAAAGCTTCAAAAGCTTTCAATATAAAATGATGATAGGCATTTATTGAAACAAATATATTTATCATTAATAGTTTTATTAATGATGACAAGCGTGTTTTCAAAATACAAACATCAGTCACACCCATTGTTGAATACCTCTGCTCGTAGAGTTTTTGAGGAAAATAAAGGACAAAGGAGTTAGTTGCAAAGTAAGCTAAAAACTAAGATTGTCATACTTATACTTCAGACATGTCTGAAGTGATTTTTTTTTAAAGTTTTGAAATCAAGGAATTGTGAAAATGTCACTGTGTCACTTACCAACACTCTGATTGTTGATACATGTCTTGCAGAAGTCTCAGAACTGTCAGCCTACTCATATCTCAAATATCAAAGATATTTCAATAAGTAAATCTGTATAGCTAAAACCTAACATTTGTGTATTTATCATTCTTGATCATAACTTGTACTGGCTTTCAATTTCTAAAAGATTACCCATATGGCACGTTTGTTCACACCACCTCTGATCGAATGTCGGTATGGCAGAACATTATAACGAATGGTCTACCGACAGTTTCTGATCTTTGTGAATTATTGGAATATATTTTGAAAGCTTAGTCAAATCTGTTATTATTTCTAATCAGCTAAACACTATTCTCGTTTCAAACTGCTCATTTTTATTAATATCGACAGAAAATATTTACTCAAAGTTTTCATAGTTTTAAATAATTAAAACACTTGTATATTAAGAACCGAATGCTTGATTTTAAGAAATTGAAATTTAATAGTTCGTCAATTTTTTTTGTCACGTGTGCGATCAACGAAACATTAAAAAAAACAAGGCCATCAACTACTGCATGAATAAAATCAACCGATAAAAATATCAATCGTACGACATCGGTGAAGTATGCGTCAATTTTCTTTTTGTATTTACTTGCCGGTTCAACGGAATGAAAGTAGAATTTAAATTTTGAATAAACATCCGATAAAAAAAAAAACTTTCATACTATAATGGCCGGATACGAATCCATTATGTCGAAAAGAACGAGAAGAAATTGATCATCATTACACATTCTATATGCAGCGTTTGCGGAGTAAAAAAAAAGTAAAAAAACATTTTTTTTTTAAATTTTTCTTCGTTTTAAAAGCAGTTGACGGATACCTTATTGACAACAAAAACAATAATAGAAACAAAACGAATCATTTAGCTACATAGAGAATAGCATTATGGTTTATTCAAATTCAGCAACGTTACATCTTCATTATGATTTAGAAAAACCTGGTTATCACGGTTAGTAAAATTAAAGTTAAAATTTTCTTAATTTTTTATTTTCTTATTTTAATTAGTATATGATCGCCGACATTATCCAGAAAAACATCGTTTTACTTTAAGCGAGTCGATTTATAAACCAAGAGGTCGTGCTCATATCCCTTCTCCTCCATTGGAAGATCAACAATGGCGTCCACATGGTCAACATATCGAGCCAATTTATTCAGAGTAAATATTAAGAGATTAAAAATTAAATTTTATGAAAGAAAAAAAAATAATACGTTTATATAAAGCGAAATATTTGATCTTCTTTTTCTCATATATGAAGTTTTATTTAAGTGTCGGACCTGATTGGCATTCTCGTATACGTCATATTCAATCTCCACGTAATCCAGATGCTAAACCTACGCTACCAGTTAGTTTTATTGAACGAAATATACATTTTATGCGTCCATATCCTCAAAATTGGCAACGTTCAAAAAATGAATGGATTTATTTTTATGATGAATCTGCAGATAATCATTCATCGAAACGAAATCTTTTTGCTAATACACATCTTCGTTCATTAGAAGATTTAGGTGATGAAAATGTTCATATGACACAAATTGGACATAAAAAACAAGTTTTAGACATACGTAATGGTCTTCAAAAAAAAACTGAAGGTGATAAAAGTTATCGTACAGTTGAATTATCACCAGATTTCTATAAATTTGGTTCAACATTACCTGCTGTAAATTTTGGACGCAGTAAAAAACGATATGGACATGAAAAAACATTTGTGCCTATGAAAAATGAGACGATACCAATTATTGATGAAAATGATTTTGAAAAAAAAGAACGTAAACGTGAATACAATCAAAATATAAATGAAGTTATACAATTAGATAATTGGATACCAGCAGATAGTATGACACGTGCATTTACGGTACTTGATCTGGTGGAATCGAATGATAAAGAAGGTGTAAGATACCGACCTCGATTTCGATAAATTTTTATTTTTATTTTGGAAAGTGAAAAAGAAAAAGTTCAGTGCATAAAGCTGATATAGAATAAATTGGGCTTGCCTAGACTAACTAATGTGCATCTCTTAAGAACTTCGATTAAGTAAATCCACCAATCTACAAAAAAAAAGAATTTTCTTTTATACAAAAAGAGAATGAACAGAAAAAAGAAAATTATTTACTGCAATAAGATCGATTTCATCTTGAGTTAAAGGATGGCGTCGATATTTTTTAGGTGTTTGAGAAAATTCCAATGAAGCTGATTTTTGACCAGCTTTAGATTGGGATGAAGCACCAATAGCTTGAGCCATACTCGAATCACTTTTACTTTCTGTTGATGCGTGATTGACTGAACCTATTTTGATTATTTCATTTATTTTAAATATATATAAAACATATACTCATACCGGATTGATTCGCACCATATTTAAATCGAATTAATGGGACATGATGACGAATGATTTTCTATCAATAATCAAAAAAAACTAAACTTAGTAAAATATAGAAATCTATTTAAAAAATTGAAACCTGAATGTTGCTGACCATACTAGCCATAATTATGAGGAAAAAAGTAATACAACTCTGAAATGAATTATATAGTTATGACAACAAATTCAAGAAATACATCGACGAACATCATATATTCAAAACCGTTACAAAAAAAAGTATTTTTATTACAATACAAAACAAGAAAGTATCAATCATAATCACCATTGATTAAAATTCCATGTTCCAGTTGAACTATTTGCAGTTAATTTTCTTTTTTTCTTTTGTGTATATTCATTATCTTCATCAGTAGCTGTTGAAGCTTGTTTAGCATTTGGACTAATTTAAAACAAAATCAAAAGTATATAAAAAGGATTTTAAAAAAGAAAAACTTACAAGAATTGATTTGATATATATTTTCCAACACCTGATCGAAATACTTGATTCGTTAATGTATCGTTCGTCGTAGAAGATTTTGTTGATTTTGCTGAACGAACTGTTGCATTCATTTTTTCTTCTTCAGCTTCACGTTTATCTTGTCGTTCACGTTCAGCTTTTAACTAAAACAGAAACAAAATAATCCATATTAAAAAAAAAAGAAGATGCTTACTTCTGTATCAACTTCATCATATGGATTAACGAATACAATTGTATCTTCAACTAAAATATCAGTCTAAGCAAAAAGAAAAAAAAACCGTAATTAAACAATTAATTTTTATGAAGAACTTTTCTTACTTGTGGTCGATCTTTCTCATCGGTTGGTATAGCTTCCATTGCACTAAGTGTTTCAATACCACCAACAATTCTTTACATATGAATAAAAAAAAAATAAGTTATTTTTTTTTTTTGTTTTAAATTTACCTTCCGAATACTGTATGTTTTCCATTAAGTCCTTTGCACGTACGATAAGTAAAAAAGCTAAAAACAAAACATGATTCTTTAATATTTTTTGAAAATATTTTCAAATTTACAATTGAGATTTATTTGTATTAGGTCCTGAATTAGCCATGCTTAACATTCCTCGTCCATTATGTTGTAATTTTGGATTACATTCATCTCGAAATGGTTTATTCCATATTGATTTTCCACCATAACCTGTTCCTGTTGGATCACCACCTTGTATCTAATAATAAATTTTAATTATTATGAAGTTTAGTGTAGTTAGTTATATTTTGTTTTATCAATTAGAGAACACTAAATAGAGATTTGTCCGGATTCCGTAAGTTCTGAACTCATGGAACTCTTTATTTAACCACAAATGTTATTCAATTTCACCGATGTCTTATATCCAGAAATTCAGAATACCAGAAAATGTCATGAGAAATGACAAGTAGACAGCACAATCTTTTCTGTGGATATGAGTGTCTGAAATGTGGAAGAGTAAGAGAAGTGGTAAAAGTTTGAATCTAAAGTTATACACTCCAAATAAGTTATATGCGTTCAACAAAATTAAAAACAATCCTCATACAACTACATTAAAAGCTGTTCGCAACCAAACTTCGGTCATCACGATCGGTTGTCCTGGGATAAAAAATAGGCTTTCGAGAGAAGCGAAGAATTAAGAAATATTCTCGGTTTTTTTTCTGGTAAAATTTTGAGATATTATCTAGATAGCGATCTGTATCTCCAGAAGACTATCGGGTTGAAAAACGTGAATAGCTCTTAAACAATTTAAGTGGTTTGCATGAGTTTTCTATAACTTCACTTGATGTTCCTTTAAGTTTTATTCAACATGGTTTCGATCGAATGACTAAGTCTATAAATTGATACAGATACGGTAAATGAAGATGATATTAAAGAGATCTCTAAATGCCTTTATATAACTGATACTTGAGTAGACCAGTCACATTCTGAAAGTTCTACAGTAATAACAGAAGAAAAATCGATGCAATCCATGCTACTACAAAATGAGATAGTTCGTTGTGATAAGCCTCATACTCATTGGAATTTAACATTTCTTGGATTTTTTATACGGTAACAGATAAGCATCGTGTTATCAAGAATGCACAATACCAATAAAGTAGCTGCAGTCTCCACTATACTTTTCAGAATAAGATAGAAGCGAAGGTTTTTGTTTCGATGTTAGCTACTCTACTGGTAATTTGTTTCCTGGATAATACATCACACGTAGCAACGGCGCCACTTGTTACTGTGCAATCAAAGTATGAAGGGGGCGTTGGTGTTCTGACTCCACCACTAATCTAAAGCTCGTGTATAGCTCGAATTATTCAAAAGTTATTCATATCATTTTTTTTTTGATGAATTTTTTCAAACACTGCATAGATTAGACAAAAGAAAAAAAAATATTTGTTTTAACTTACAATAAAATTTTTAATTGATCGATGAAATTTACTTCCGACATAATATTTATCTGCACAATGTTTAATAAAGTTTTCACATGTTTGTGGACATAAATCACAATCAAGTTCAATATTAATAACACCGAAATTAGTAACTAAACGAACATAACCTTTCTTTTTTCCATTTTTAATTCTTGTATAACGTATATCATTTTCATCACGAATGGCAGCTTCCATAATTGTAACTGGATCCATTGATGTTGATGTAAATGATGCAGCTAAACGTCCTGTTGAATATGTTGCCATGTTGGTATGATCTAATTTTTGTTGATTTGTTTTAATTTGTTTAGATGAATAAATACTTGTTTCAGATTTTTCAAGAAATTCTTTTGATGGTGTTGTTTTTAATTGTTCAAGTGTTGCAGCTGTTTCATTATTTATTGATTTGAGATAAAAATTTGGATCTGTACGACGTGCTTTTTCATCTTCATCATTTAATTTCCATTCATTTTTTAAATGTGCAAATGTTTGTATATTAAATTTATCCAAATTTTTTGGATCTTGTATTGTTATTATATCATCACGTGTAAATGGTTCATTTGTTAATAAATCATTAAATGTATTTGTTTTTATATTTAAACGATCAATAGCATCATAACTATAAACATTACCTGATGGACGTATAGCAACAATATGTGAACTATCAGTAAGAACTTTAAATGTAATTGGACAATGTATTTCACCTTTAGCATTTTTATGAAAATTTAATTTTGTTAATTGTTTTGCTTCAAGTTTTTCACCAGTAACAGGATTCCGACCTGATTAATAAGAGAGAGAGAACAAACTTTGTGTTAGAGAAAAAAACAAAAAAGAATCATAGTTGTTTACCGTATTTTTTAAGAAATGGAACAATAGATGCAAGATCAAAGATGATACCATCAGGTGTACAATATGGATTTTCAACTGGTTGAAATGATATACTACAACAATTGAATGGTAAACGACGAAAATCGGCATTAGATTTTGTTAAACCTTTGAAACCACCAAAGGAATTTTTCCATTCCTAGATAATAATAAATATAGAATAAAAGAAAACAATTAAAAATTAAAATTAAAATTTTACGGTTGTTGTCAGATAAAGTTTATCTTGTTGATGTTGTTTTTTGCCCATTGTTGATCAGAATTATTATGCGGAAAATAGATGAAAAGAATGATCAATTATTATTTATTGTATAGAACAAGAAATTACATTATATAATATTTGACCAATCAAAATAATTATAAGATCTGTTGGAAAGTAAGGACATCTACATTTTGACATTGCATCAAAATTCAAAAAATAATGAAATAATTTTTAGCATTACTTCGACATTCAAATGTGAACACTTCTGTATATATAGTTCATAAACTCAAAACAAAAGATTGCAAACTGGATTTATACTTTCGTAAACCATCCGCTTTTTAGCTTTATTGTATTCTAAGCAGAGCTGCTAGCCTATTCCCTATATTTTGGAAATCAAAAGTTGCTGCATCGCCTTACTATTTGAGAGTATTTTAACAATATTATTTGGGTTCAACAAGAAATATTGAATGGCAAACTTTGCGCTTGCACTGTTACGAAAATTGATTGTGAAAAAGTACCGCCTATTTCTTACATTTTCATTGTAAATTTTCTTTAAATCCTTCCTTGTATGAAAAGTTTTTATGTTAATTTGCTATTTTATGCGACAATATGTTATTGTCTCATTTTTATGAGAAATAAATTTTAGTGAACAACTAAAACTAGAATGATACATTATAGTATAGAATTCTAGAATAAAATATGTTCATAAAATCAGAAACATCAATCGGTCTGGTGTGTTGTATAGAAATCTAGAAGATTGCCTAAATTGACATAGTATTACTTACGAAAATTCTCGCTGGTTAATAAATGGCTAAGAGCTAACTAATCATTAATATACCATTTTATTGAGAAATGTTTACTCTTTCATTTGCCTCTATTTTGACTAATTTTTGGCGCACTAAAATTCATCCAAACTTAATTTACGTACCTCTAAAAAGTCAGCTTATAACTTCTAAACCAAAAGTTCTTCAAAAATGCTAACTCATATTCAACAAGAACACAAACTTCGACAGGCTCCTTTAAAAAGCCGGAAAAATGAATGAATATTTTGACTAATTACTGTTCGGTATTCTGTTAGAATGAGACGATGAATATAATCATAGTAGTTTTGTAAGTTTGATAGGAATCACTCTAGTTTCATAAATCCTTATATTGATACTTTTTTTGTTTCATTTATTGATATACTAATGCTAACAAAGAATCGATCGTATTCTTAGCATGAAAGATTAATCAAAATAAAGATTGAATTTTGTGCGCTTATATTGCTTTCTTTAAGTTACACATAAACACATGTTTAACTATATAATTTTATCTTTTTCTCTTGTTTTGTTTTGACGTAAACATATTCTAGTGAGAATGACGCATCAGTTTGTATTCGAACGATTCAAATAGAAACGACAAGTATAAAATTTATTTATATTAATTTCTTTCCGATGTTCCTATTACATTTACTATGTCTTTTGGCATTTTCATTTATATGTTGTCGTAGTGAAATTTGTACTGAAGACAATTGTCTATTACCAAGCTGTCAATGCTCGATGAGTAATGATAATCCAACATCATTAGATATTACTGATCTACCTCAATTTGTAAATATTGATCTTTAATGATTCATTTATGTCTAATGATGAAAAGTATTTTTTTAAGATTTTATTAACATTTGTCGGTAGCTTAAGTAAAGATACACTCGATCCAATACGATCAATTTTAAAATCGTCTCATCGAAATCCAAATAAATGTCCGATTTCATCAACATTTTTTATTCATAATGTTCATACAGAATACTGTTTAGTTCAACGTTTATTCGATAATCAAAATGAAATAGCAATAACAATTTCAAATAAGAAGTAAAGTTATCGAATTTTTTACTATTTTTTAAATATGTAGTTCATACTTAAGATGTCCATTAACCAAATGTTATAATGAAAGTTATTGGCATCAATGGACTAATGATGATTGGTACGAAGAAATCAAACAACAACGTATAAATATAGTTGAACATGCTCAAATTCATCAGTCACATATAAAAGGTTTTCATGTACCTCATTTACAAATTGATCAAAATAAATACTTCGAATTTTTACATCAATTTCATTTTCATTATGATTCATCTATGCTATTTAAATCATCGAGTTTAATGTGGCCATTTACACTTGATTATCCATTTGATCAAACTGATTGTATTAATTGTCAACAATGGACAAATCCATTTGAAGGACTTTGGCAATTTCCATTACATGAATGGACGTATCCAAATGGTAAAAACATGATTAAACTTTGATTTATAACTATTAAAATTCATCGTTGATCTGAAAATCTATGAAAAAAATAACTAACAAATATTTTTCTTTTGTTATTTTTAGCTACTAAATCTTGTCGTACTTTTTTCGATTCGTCATGTTTACCTATCAATCAATCACATACAGATGATCTTTTGTTTGATTTTCTCATGCATAATTTTGAACGCCATTCATCATTATCTATTGGTTATCGATCACCATTCATTATTCAACTTGATCTTTCTTGGCTTTCTAAACATAACAATCTGCATGTTCAAGCTTTGATTCGTTTTATTAAATATATTTTAAATAGTTCAAATTATCGATATGTATATTTTGTTTCAATTGAAAAAGCACTTGAATGGTTTAAATATCCACGTTCATTAGATGAACTTCGTGATTTTTGGGCATTTAGTTGTGATGACAAAATCTATGAATATGATACAGTTTGTTACGATAAAGAATTAAATAAAAATGAACAAGATAATTTACTCAATCAAGGAAACATCAAAGCATTAAAATCCAACGATAAAACAAATGAAACTCATTCGAAAACTATTGATCATCCTGCAGAAAGACTTTTCCCTAGTGATATTGTTTTTCATGCTTTATGGATATCTTTTTTATTGATTTTAAGTGTCTTTTTTTATGATAAGTATTTCGCGAACAAGTGATTTTATTTCTAAACTTTTTGAAAATAAAAAAAAAGAAGATTTTTTTTCCAGAAAGGATTTAATATTGTCAATAAGTGCATTATTAATTGAATCATTATTTTTCTTGGTAAAAAAAAAAAGATATTTATAAGAAATCGTTGTACAGCTCTTGGCATTGTCTTGTTCAGAGTTCAACGATGCAAAACATTTCGATTATTTCCTAACTTACGAAATATATGACTTCTCAATGATCGACCATTGATTTCACGAATCTCTAACGTTACATGAATAAAGTCGTTGTATGCATATATTCTTCTAGCATCAAATGAGAGGTCATATGAAGAATTGCCAGAACCTATTAATCCAGTGTAATTCGCAAAATCTACTTTTTGATGCAGATAATCTTTTGAGGTGTTTATCGTTCCACCCCAAGAGTAGGCAATTATCTGAACTAAAATTGCCATCAAATGATGGAAATCTGAAATACTTTTCCACGATAGCTACTGGATTGAAGTGAGTCTGGCAGTCGAGTGTTTTCGACGAATTAGTACAATCTACATCACTGTTTATAACCAAATTTATGGAAGCGTTGAATTTATTCGATTTCAACTGATCATCATTGTTAAATACGTATGATCTATTTGGCAATATCTCATTTGCGATCTTAGGAAAAGATGGATGTAGAATAGCTCCAGCTAGATTGACGCCTTTCATGATGGCGTTACGAATTTGTATTCCGCTTGAGTCGGCACTCCTCAAGTTATATGAGATAAAATTCGTTTCGTATAAATAGGTGTTTGAGAAATTACTGTTGACTAACATAGACCCACTGAGATTTGCGTTCATCAGATGTAAGTCAATAAATGAAGTATTTGATAAAACAATGTAAGTAAGAGCAATATAATCTAACCAAACTCCGAGACCGATATGTCCAGTTAATGGTATTCTAGATAGATCAGAACCGTCCACATCAATTCGAGGACGATTATCGAACAGAAATTCTGTTTCGTACAAAAACTGAATCAAATGACTTTGTAGTTTTTTGTATCGAATTGACGAACTGCTGACAAGGTTTTTGCTCGAGCAAGTCACTACTATTGATCTAGTTCAATTTTACTGATAATTCACCAATCTCTTTGATATAAACAACATAAACAGTTTCTTGATGTAATTCATTTGCTTGTTGTTGTTCTTGAGCACGTTGCTGAAAAACAATTTCTAAAACATTTAATCGATTCTGTTTGTTAATTNGCGTTGTTCTTGACATAATGCTAGACAAATCTGTTTATCTCTCAATAGAACAATTTGATCGTGTATGCCACTGCGAATATCTTTGCGAGTTTTTAATATGAACATTGGATAATCGGACACCATCTTTTCGAACAATGTCATTAATTGTGAATGAGTTAATCTTTTCATGTGCTTAAGTGATAATGTACGAATCTGTTTAACAACGGTGTATGCCCTTGCATCACAATGAAGACGGACAGTACATTTGGAAACATTCTTCAAATGTTTGATGAAAAAGAACAAATCAATTTGACTTGTGATGTTTTTCTTATTCATGACCACTTGTTCGCAAAGAATACTTGAATCTTCATCTGGGCTAACTTTCGTCGCAGAGTCGTCAATATGGTAGTTTTCCTCGTCCTTAATACAACGACCAAGATCGTAAGTAGTACATGGAAGGACCTTACTATCTATGTCAATGCATTGTTCAAATAACCAACAAATTAGATTAGGCATGAAAGTACCCAGCAGAGTTTGTTCAATGTCTTCTGGACAAAATTCACGGAGAAGATGTAACAATGCATCGGAAAGAATAGTTTTTTCAAATGCAAACATTTTACTTTGTAATGCATGTACAAGTGCCATCATCGCAGGTGGAAAAATGTACTGTTGAATAAGGATCAAGAACTTCACTTCAAGTTGTTGACGTCGATAGGCTTCTTCTTTTGGTGGCTGTCGAAAGTATTGACGAAGAGCATAGAGACTAGTGAGAAACATACTTTGCGCTAATGAGTCTTGAGGCACTGGAAAAGCATGGGCGGTCCACCAGCAAGAATGGGCGAATATTTCTCTCGGCTCCTTCTGGTATGCATAAATATACTCAACTTCCGTCTGTGGAAGAAAATATATGAAAAAATGCGGATCTTGTTCGTTTATTGAGGATGATCTAGGTAGAAAGAAACTTTCCAAAGCTTCATTCTCAATTCTAATATCACTGAATATATGCATTCGATTATTAAAGAGTAATGGAAATATCTTTTCGATTTCAGCATGCACTGTATCATTTTTACGAATATCATCAATACATTGCCACAAGTTTTGTAGTGTTGCAGTTGTCCGAATCTGTATGGTATACACCTTGGTAAGCGATGCTACTTTCACAGTTAGTGGCTGCCCATCAGGAACATCGTCCTCTTTGAAAACAGTATTCTGAACCACAAAATTCTGTTGCACATATAATGGAATTTCCAACTCATCATGTGTCACTTTTTCAGTATTGACAATCATTCCGTTACTGGATCGTCCAAAATCATCAGTATCTGTAGGAGATATACGATTTGAAAAGTGTTCCACAACGGTGGCTGTCGGATTAGCTATTTGAAGTAGATGATCATCCGCATACATGTTATTCATAGGTTGCGCGCCTCGCAGGTTTCCATATCCTTTAGTATCAGTCATGAACGATCCTGATCGCCGGTACTGATGAGTCCATGCATTGTACATTACTGCTGCGGTGTGGGGTTCAGTGGTTATTTTATCCTCAACAGAAGTATCAGTGAGGTCTATGCGAGGTATTTCAGATACTGGAGTAGGTTGAGGAGAAACTGAGTACTTTTCTTCTATAACAGGAGACTTGGCACGTATTTGCAGCGGGTGAGCCGAGTCAATGCGTTGGTCAAAGAAACATGAATTAGATTTTAGTATACCTCTCTTGTATGTTAATTCAAAATCGTAGTCTATTTTAAATTCCCGTCGAATTTCTCGTTCAATCGATGAAATCGGTGCATATGCATTTTCTAGTGTTCTTCGATAAAGTTTATCATTGATGCGAATTGTGTAAACTGCTGAAGGAGAAGATACGTTCAACATCATGATTGGAGAATAATTTGATCTGATTATCTAGAATATTATTAAAATTTCACTTGAACAACAGTACTTTGATATGCAACAATCGTATCAGAAATTTGATTAATTTTGGAGTTCCACTGTTAAACTGCTCGTTATCAAATAAATGGAAGATGAAAAAGATAGTTTGATTAATGTAGATTACTATCAACTGTAAAAAAGATACACTATAAACAAGATCTTTCACTACATCTAGGGTTTGTATCCATTCACAACATGAGAAACGGCCCTCTGTTTCATGTTGTGTAAACAAAAAAAGCTTTTATTATTGTTCAGATCTTTATTAAGATATTTACGAGATCCCGTATAGTAATAAGATCTTCTATTGTATATGTCGTTATAGTAATAGGCTGTCTTGCTCTCGCAGAGACTCCTATAGGTTGAGGAAAAGCTTTTACAGCTTGTTTTCTTTATCCATGGTGCTAAGATCGCTACCGAATGATGCAGAACTTTATTCTCTACAAACTGCTATGGAACTTAATTTAAAACAATATAGCTGAAGATTTTTATAGGGTGCATTGTGTGATTCGATTAAAGGAATCTTTTTTCTGTACAACTTTTAGTAAGATATTATTTCTACGCAAATGAATAGCTGATTTCTAAAATATAGGCTAGTATTAAACAACACTTGAAAATGTGTATCAATTGCGTATATTTGAAGCTTTTTTAATGGGCACTTTTTTACATTCAAAGCGGGTTGATGTTGGAAAAAAAAATATCGGAAAAGCTTCACCTATGACCAGATCGAGTTTATTATTGCAGAACTTTGTGGTAAATTATCCGATTTCTTAGCTCGAAACCCCAAAATGACTTTTGTTACAAAAACATGTCAGTGCAGCTTTTCGCGACCAAAATGTGAAACTTACATGTGTTGTTCAGCCTCATAAAAGCAGTACGAAATATGTAACATGAAAAATTTCTCTCAGACTACGGTTACGTTCTAAGATAATCAATCGTCAGACAAATCATCAGTTTTATTTATCTTTTCATTTCGAACAGAAACTTTCTCTATTTTTATTAGGTGTACGTGTGAATTTAGTTATATCCAGAAATAGACCTATACCCATGTAATCCAACGCTTCAAATGTCGACGAAAGCTTTGGAATGTTCTAGAGTCTACACGAACAGCCTAAGTCTTGTTGTGAGTTCCACAAAAAGTAATAAACAGATGATGAAAGTATCCTCTATTCGTTGACTTACACAGTGTAGTATATGAAAATCTGTCTTTAATATTACTTTACATTAAGTTTTGCAGCAAATTACAGAGAATAATATTCTACATTTTATGATGGCAAATTTAGGATCAACAATTGTTTTCTCGTTTTAATATTTGCAAAAGAAAATATGTTGTAAAACTTTTGCCCAACTTGGTTCCTTTAGTTTTACACATTGAATTCAATAGAAGTGTCTAAAAGAATTTTTCAATAGGGAACGTAGTTGAGAANGAATCAGCATGGTATGTACTTGATGAAGCAATACAAATTCATGGTGGAATGGGTTTTATGAGAAGCACTGGTCTTGAACGTGTTTTACGTGATTTACGTATATTTCGAATATTTGAAGGTGCCAATGATATTCTTCGTTTATTTATTGCTTTAACCGGTTTTCAATATGTTGGTTTACATTTACGTGAATTACAAAAAGCAGTTAAATATTTTAATTTTAATATTATTGTTGGCGAAAGTTCCAAACGTTTACGTCGTGGTATTGGTATAACACCAGGTTCAAATATAAATGAATATATACATTCAACACTTCATCCATCCGGTTTACTTTTATCAAAATCTATTGATTATTTTGGTATAGCTATTGAACAAATTCTTATTAAATATGGTAAAACAATTCGTGATGAACAATTTATTACTCATCGTATTGGTGATATAACTATTGATTTATATTCAATGGTAGCTTGTTTATCACGTTGTACGCAATCATTTCAAAATCAAATACCATCAGCTATACATGAATCAAATTTAGTAAGAATTTGGTGTGAAGAAACTTACGATAAAATTAAGAATAATATTAATCTTATTCAAAATTCAGCTTTTATTGAAAGAACAAGATTAATGACCGAATTATCTCGAGAAATTGTTGATAAAGAATCAACTGTTCCTGTACATCCATTGGGTTTTTAAACAGTACTTTTTTTCTTTCGATGATTTATGTATTTTTTTTTTTTTGAAAAGTTATTTCTATTTTAGAGAAATAAATGAAGAACTTATTTTTATGTTATACCTATATATGATCAGATTTTGAAATAAATAAATAAATATGTATTAATGAAATAATGAAAGAAATACTTATCATGTGTATATTTGAGTATTAGATTTTAGAGATTGATAAAAAAAAAAGAAGAAGATCTTGTTACATATTGACAATATCGGGTCATGAAAGAACTGTCCGTTTGAAGAAAGGAGATTATTTTTTTGCATTAGGTGACTAGCACACCCTACATGTTTGTACGACGACTAGAGGCTGTCAGGTTCGAAAATTTCAGATTCGAACCCACTTAACAGGTCATGGTTTCATTTTCGGTTGCTCCATTTTGTCTGAATATGTTTCAGTACTGTTGAATGAATTCATAATGTAAACAAAAATGATTTCTTTGAACTTGATCATTAAATCTATAATATACAGGAATAGATTTTTTATATGACTTTCTTTGACAACAAACATTAGTTTTATCGTGTTAATTTTCTAACTGCTTTCAAGCTAGTCCTGTTAACACAAAAACAGATACAAAATGATCATAATACTTCAAATTAGTGAATATATTCGAATTTTTCTTTTGAAACTACAATTGACTTTGTAAATTGAGACTGAAAAATAAAACGACATTCTTGGCATTTGAGCTTGTTGACATGAAAATATTTTCGTTTTTTTAAATAGTTATAATATTCATATGATTTCTAAATAAACTTTATAGATAGATAATATATATATGCATTATTGACTTCTTATTGTCCGAAGATACAAATTAACAATAAAGTATAGTAAAGCCAAATATGTACATTTCTTTTTCTATTTTTGAATATGGTTTGCCTGTATTATAGTATTCGGTTTTGATGATAGAGAAGCCTTTTTTGTTTCTTCAAACTTCATTACTCATTTTATTATTTATTTACACATCAAAGAAATATGAAGGTGTATGTCAATGAATAATATGAGACAAAATTCATCTTTCAATCTATAGAATTACCAATATAAAAATTATATTTTGTATTATAAATCGATTTGTTGATTATACCGAATCAGATTGTTGAAGACGTAACGATACTAAGCGGAATTGTAAAAATCAACCGCTCAATAAAGATACATCTCAATAATGAACGGTGTTTGTATGTATATATATTAATCTAAATGAATATGTTAAATATGTGACCATAAGAAAATAGCAATAAAAAACAATGAAATGTTAATTTAAAAAAAGAGAAAATGTATAGATATTCTAAATTCTAATAAAAGACATTTGAACATTTTTCTTTGTTCTTATTTTTACCCACCTAACTTTTTCTAATTTAAATAAGTTGATGCATTTGTTAAATTTATGGATAATCAAACATTGAATCAAAAAAAAAAAAGTAACTTGAAGAACAACATGTCTTTCTATCGATTTCCATCTGTTTTTTTTTCTTCGTAGTTTTCCTATGCTAAATGTATACATTATTGAACAATGTTGCGCTTGATGAATTCATCAAATATGAGTCAATCATCTTTTTCTTTTTTTTTCATTTCGAAATTGTTCAAGTGTAGATCTCATATATGTTTGTAAAACTACCTTTGTTTCTCTTTCCCTATAGAAGAAAATATAGAGGAAAAGAACAATGTAAGAGCTCTTCTTTCTCGAGTGTGACGACAAGTAAAGTGATTAAAACGCAAGGAAGTGAACAACACACATGAGAGAAGAATTTCTTTTTTTCATTTCTAAATTGTCCATCATGTCTCTTTCGTACTGATTCGTATCCATAAGAGTTCATCGATAAGTGTTTTCTTTCATTTTCACCATAAAAATTTCCTTTTTTTTCTCTTATTCTTATTTACTAGAAGGACATTATTTCGAACAGTACACAAGTACAACATCAAGCGTTTCGGCTCATGAGAATTTCAAACGAGTCAAAAAAAAAAACAACAAGTGTATATGTATGTTTAAAACGAGATACAATATAAAGAAAATCTAGAAAACCAATAAAAGAAACCTGAATTTTTGCATCGTCATTGTCTAATTATCTGTCCGATGTGAAAATGAAGGAAATTAAAACGTCGAGACATATGAACTAAAAGCATTTCAAATGAATGTGAAATTCTATCAAGTTCTATTCTTTTTATAGTGATAATTAGATTTGATAAAATATACCTTTTGTATATATATATGAGCACAAGAAAGAGAGAACAAATGATGGAATAAAATATCGCATGGAGATTTGATCATCAAATAATAAGCTAAACTTACTAGTATGAAATGATGAAATTGCATACTATATTTTTTTTTCATACGCGTAATGTTGTATATGTGTATTTTGAAAGACGGGCAGTCGACTGTTGTGTTGAATGAAGGAGAGAATAGTTGTTTCAGCAGGAGTATAGAGAAGAAAAAAAAAACTGAGAGAAAATTATGAAAATGTTCGTTAAGAGTGTCTGCGCGTAGCAGTGCCTCGATCTCTTTTATTCTCTCTCTCTCTCTCTCTCTCCCCCTCAATGTACGATGCATTTTGAAATTCCATTAAAGCAAGTCTATTCGACACAAAGACAAGTGAAAGAGAGAGAGAGAGAGTAGGTAAAAAAAAAAGGAATGAGAGAATCACACTGGTCTCTTCAATCATCTAACCAGCTGATCAATCGAACAATATTCTCTACTGCGGTTAGTATGTTTCTCTCTGCTTCTCTACTATGATTTCTATCTTTATTTTAGTAGAGATTGAAAATGAATACATCAAGGTATGAAACATTATTGCAAGCAAATAAGTTTATTTGACATACGACGACTTTTCTTTTTCTTCTTCTTTTTTTCTCCTCTTGATTTGTTTGTTTAAGACAATGTCACTTTTTTTTTTTTTTTTTTTCATTTTTAGAATCTATGTATGTTTAATCATAAGACGACGATAAAGACAAACAAGTATCATGGCAGCAGCAACAATACATTTGTTTGCATATTCATTTGAACGAGTCATATGTAAACTTTCGATGAAATTAAACCTTCTCTACTAAATTTATATTTTTAATAATAGATTTTTTTTCTATAAATATAATTCATTAATTTGTCAAGAAAATTACGAAACAAAAGAAAATCTAGAACAATTGATCAGTAATAAAAGAATAGAAGTAAAAGAAAAATTTTATTACCAGGAAATAAAAATGATAGAACTTTAATTTTTTTAAGAAATTCCTAAAACACTAAACTCAGGACAAAAATCGCGATGTTTCAATTGATTCAGATGTCACTTCAAGTATCATATTCTGATTGGTTATTCATTTAACGAAAGATAATCGAGACATTGTTTGTTCAATTCATTCATTCATTCTTTGTTTTGTAACGGTTTTTTTTTGTCTTGAATCTGTTGAAATTTCAGACAAACGTTTCTTTTGTAAAAGATTCAATAAAGCATTTAAAAACAAATGCCGTTAACTGATCAACAATTACGCCAAGAATTACTTAGTTATGGCGAAACTGTTCCACCAATAACACAACGTAATCGTGAACAACTTCGTGCTCGACTTGAAGAACTTCGATCACAACGACGTTCACCAGCTAAAAGTTCACCATCACGTGCACGTACAAATACATCTAATGTACGTTCACGTCCTGTACGTGGTTTAATTGAATTAAGTGATTCAGAAACAGATACATCATCCAATGAATATTCTACATCACGTCGTACAGGACGAGAAACAAATATTCAAACACGTTCGATTGCAGTAGGAAGAGATGCAGATCGACCAAATGTATTACCAATATCAAATGTATCTGTTGATGTTGAACAATCAAGTAAATACTTTTTTAAAATTTTATTTTTGATATGTGTATTAATTTTATTTGAATGAGGTTTTGAGGGAAAAAATTTGCAGCTTTTTTTTTCAGTTAGCTATTTTTTTGTGAGAAAGATTAATTTTCGATATCAGACAGACTGTTGAACTTTTTTTGTACATAAATAACTTGCTTAGATTCAGCTTTTCACGCTAAATCTGAAACAAAGAATTTCTAAACTAGAAGAAAAAAGAAAAAAAACTTCATCTTTCAGAAAAGGTAGTTGATTTCAATAAAATGCAAACATATTCTTGTTCAACTCGTCACGCTCTATTTAACTATAAATAACAAAAGAAAATTCTGCTTTAATTTTGCATTTCCAGCACCTTATAAAGAATCTCGTCAATCGTTTTAGTTGCTCGTCATCGTCGTGAAATTCAACAATTAATTGATTCAGCACGTGAAAGAGCTCGTGCTGCAAATTCTAATTTACCATCTAGACAATATGAACCATCGACAACAACATCAACTCGTCCAAATTCAATAACATCATCTCGTCATGCATCATCAATTAAAAGTGATTTGAGAAAAATTATTAAACAACCTTCATGGTTGAATCGTTCACGACAAACAATTGAATTATTTTGGAAAACAAATAAAGATGTTATTATAAATGTATTGAAAGCTTTATTTGTTGGTTTAATAGTTGCTTGCGGACTTATTATTCTTAAAAATAAATTACCCGATTTTATTCCGCAACAAAGAGGTAAATTTTTGCTGATGTTTTTTTTTGTTTTTGTTTTTATTTGAATTGTTGTTAATTGTAGGAATTACTTGTTCTCCTGAAAATTCGGTAAGATTTTTTTGTTTTTATTTGAGTTTATAATATTCTATTTAAGATCGAATGTGAGGATATGAAACCAATAATTAAGTCACTACAAAAATATCTTCAAACTCGAACTGGTAATCTTGAAAATGAATAAAAATAAATTATTAGATTAGAACTCTTTTTTTTTGCTTTGTAGGTGAAGTTGAATGTGGTTTCCGGCCAAGAAGTGATCTTTATGTAGCAAAACCTGAAATAAATAAATATTTAGATGAAAAAGTAATTAAAATAAACTTCATTGATTTTTTTTTCGAATAAATAATTCATAGGGATTTAAATTTGAATCCAATTCTGATGAACGATGGGAAACAATTATGACTTATATACGGGACAAACCAATTGATGAAATTCTGTAAGTTAATATTATCTTAGAAATAAGTAGACAATTACTCACGAAAATTCATTGATCAATAGGAATGTTCTGAAGTCGTTAGTTGAAAGATTAAGAAAACTGTCTGCTCGGGATACTTCTGTAGATCATAATTTACGAGGTAACCTCACCAAGTGTTGAATTGATTTTCGACTGAGATGATGTTTATTTGATGAGTTATGAATTGTTTGGTTTTTCTCGATCTTTGTTCTTGAGATATCGAAAGTTTACTGGGTTTTGTTTCCTCAGAACATATAGAAAATTGAACAATCAACGAAACTTAAGAAGTTTATTCGTGTAAAACTTGAAGTCAAAAGTAGATATTCGACGTGACTACAGCTATGTTAATATTTCAAGAACGAAGACTCACGAAGCCAAATCATTCGAAACTTTTCTATTACTCACCAAGTGAACATCATAGTGGACGAGAAGTGATTTCACACCTAGAAGGGTTCACTCGTTAGAAGAGTAAGGCAAAAGAATAAATGAATAATTGCATGTTTTAGAGTTTAAACATGTTTTTTCCGTGCAAATCATTCACTTCCTACAAAATCAAGAAGAAATGCTTTCTTATAAAAACCGGCAGGTATCACTGAAATTCATGTACAGCAGAATTTCATACATATTCTTCGAAGGTCTATAAATGGAAACAGTTTCTCCATTAGCTGGTCCTATAGTTCAATGTTGAAGAAAAGTATTCTATACTCAGGATGATTATTTTGTCTGCTGGATATAGTGTATTGCTGCATTAATTCCCACTATAATCGATGAGTTCTTTTTACGATATTAATGAAAACGGTGATGTAATGATGCCAGTTTGTGAAACTTGGACACTAGGAAAAGATTGACCTCTCTTCATTTAAGAATTCTTTTTTTGACTGTGATTAGAAAATAAGAGTTGAAATCTTTAGCAAATATGTTGAGTCCAACGTGTGAATTAAGAGAGGGGCGTCTGTCGGAAGAAGAAAATACGAGAATTCAATGATCATAGTATCAGTATTTTATAACCTACAGTGTATATTTCGATGCCAACTTTGTTTTTATATTGATGTTATGAATGATATTTAGAGTATATGATAATCACAATCAACCAGTAGACGATATTACTAAGGCATACAAATTGACGACAACAGAAGGAATTCATTCTGTATTATGTCGTGTTCGTAGAAGTGTTAATTCAGCAATGCAACATTTAGCTTGGCTTGCAGTAGGTAATATCTATTTGTTTAGTTTTTGTTTTATAAATTATAAATTTTTGTGTTTTTATTTTTAGGTACAACTGCTTTTCTTACATTAGGTTGGCTTATAAAGCATCGTTTAAAACAACGTGAAGAAAGTCAAAATGCATATAAAGATTTGATAAATAACATAATAACTTTACTTGAAAATCAATATGAAGATCATTTACATGATCCAGAAGTAAAACCATGGCTTGCTATAACTCATATTCGTGATATGCTTATTCCATCACAAGATCGGTTAGTATAATATATTCTTTGTTTTCTTATATAAATTTGTGTTTTTTTTTTTATAATTATTTAGTAAACGATTAAAAAATCTTTGGGAACAAGCTGTAAAACAAATAAGTCAACATGAATCACGTATACGTGCCGAATCACAATTAATTCATGGTGAAGAATATGAAGTTTGGAGATGGATACAACCACGTTCATCTAGTCCATCACCAACAAGAAAAAAACGAACAGTTAGTGAAATAAGTTTTAAATTTATTTTTAAAATGAATATCTTTTTATGTGTTGTGTAGGAATCACCACATAGTTCAAATGAAGAAACATATGTTTACACGCCACCTGATGTTGGTCTTACAGAATGTCTTAAATTGCGAAATTTCTTTGATCCTCATGGGTATGAATAATAATATACCTGTGGATGCAACGATGACAGTTATCACTGTAGATCAGTCTAGACATGCACATATAGCGCATGCCGGTCAACGCATAATAAAACTATAGTTATGTTAGATTCATTTCGACTTCTGCACTTGTGAGAAGTTTGTTTCAAGAAAATCGATGAAATGTATTAAAAGTGCATGTGTGGGGGAGGTGGGGGAGGGAGCGGTAAGTGTTTGTAGGAAGTGCATTCATCGTCGGCGTACTAGAATTGCTCACCCGATGTGAGAGTAACGAAATTCACAAGGATCCGATCTTTTTCTCCCCCAGCCCTTTTCACCTCGCAACGACATTGTCGGCTTATTTTTATTTCACTTTCTGCCGTTCCGTTTGTTAATATGTAGTATGTTATTAGAATAGCGTTACCCCCAAAAATGTCCTACTCATGCTTGGATTTAGTTCACAGAATGAATTTTGACTAGATTTCAACTTGAAACTTTGTAACATAAAAGTCTCGATTAAACTATTTCAGCTATAAAGTTTCAGCAATTATGAATATCGGATTACTAAAATATGGATTTCTTAATACCTCCATATGCTGATATTAGAATATCCAAAATTGATGTAATAGTTTAATAGAGATCTTCATATGTACAAAGTTTCAAACCGAAATTTCTAAATATAGTTTTTCTTAAAAATTGAAGTCTACTAAAATTTTGCTATGTCGACGAAATCCAAGCATAAGCAGCAAATCTATAAAAAATTACTATGGCTTAATAACTTCTTACATATTGGCGAATGGAGTAGTGCACTTCAGAATGTTCCGTCGTAAGCCTTTCTCGAACAGAAAAACCCACACCCTCAGAATTTCGATAAACTATTTATTAATTTAGATTCTTGAATCCCGAAATTTTTTGTAAAATTCAACTATTTTCTTGAAACAGCCTCTCCGATCGAAATCAATCCAAGCCTATCTTAATTTTTTAGGTCTATCGTTAGTCTATATGTACATGTTGAGATCAATAGATCGTTGCATCCATAAATAAAAAAGATATTCAAAAAAATTTACTTCAATTTTTTTGTCTAGCATTGCTGATGATGATGAAATCGATCTAGTTGTTGATAGTATTCAAAATCTTTGTGCTACAGTTAAAAGAATTGAACATATTGGTATAAATTCAATATTTGTTTACTTAAAATTTTCATCTAAAGAAGCAGCTGCTCAAGGTTTTCATTTACTTAATAATTGGAAATATCATGGTAAAGAATTATTCTTCGCACATACATAAAGAAAAAGAAAATTTTCAATTTTTTATTTAAGGTCGTGAAATTATTGCTAAATATCTTCGTCTTGAACGTTATCATGCACATTTTCCTGAAGCTCGTGAAAGTAGCTCAACAAATAATTAAATCAATTATATTATGTTCTGTCTCCTTCTATCTTTCTTCTTTTCGTTCGTGTTGTTGTTATTTTGTAAACCGGAAACCTACTCTATGATGTAATTAGATGAAATTTTCTCTTCCTTCGTTTGTCTTAGAATTTCAGAAGGAGGACATAATGAAATATATAAAAAAAAAAGCTATACTTTCTTTTCTTTTTTTTTTCTTTTTACTGTTATTACTTAAATAAAGATATGAATATTGCAGATAAGATATAATGAGTGAATTTGCATCATCTGTAAGTTCACAAACAACAAGTTGGTTCGAATTTTTACTTAATCCAACATTAATAGATACATTTTTAACAGAAGATAATCTCGGTAATAATTATTGAAATGAAAATAAATAGAATAAAAAAAAATACATAAAGATTTGTTTTGTTTGAAGAAATTACTGGTACTGATTTAATTATACAATTCTTAATAAGTGCAAATTTAATTGAACAAAAAACAAAGCTTAAAACAGCTACTGAAAATCCAAGTATGAGGATATATATATATATATGTTGGGTAAATTATTTTTACTTATATAAAATCTTCGTTTAGATGATATTGAATTAAAAGATAATCGGATTCGAGCATTGAGACATTTGGCTATAAAAATTGCTGCTAAACTTAATTGGGATCTGGTAGTTATTGAAAAACGGTAATGACAATCTTTGAAAAACAAATGTTTGTTTTAGATTCATGAGGGAGTGGCGTTCCTTGGAAGAGATCGAATTAGCCTTCCAGGATTTTGTGATTCTTTTACTATGTGTCTATGTTCTCAAAAATAGGTTTTCGCATTTTCAGAAGAAAAAATCAGGATAAAGTGAGAGAAAAACGTTGAACAGACTAATATTTTTGAGTTAGTTTCCGAACGATGATAGCTAAGGCGAAAAGATTTGAATAGCTAAATGAATTTTCTTTCACGACAAGTAAGTTTCGTCTTTTTATTACAGATTTGTTGAGAGCTTGTTTTTTTGAAAACTAATATTCCTCAAAACCAGTTTTCGAAAACGTTTCATGAGTATGCTCATCGGATAGTTCAAGCAATTTGAGATACTCCCGAACTTTTTCATGAAACTATGCAAGATCACGGCGTATAAAACATAGGAAATTTTTGAAAGACAAATGTCTTCGGCACTTTTCGTAAGTTAAGTGTAATTTGATGAAGAACGGTTGTAGAAAGTTCGGAAATATCTTTTGTGACTATTTGAAGAGACGTTGCTGGTCAAGTTCAAAAAAGTAGCTTTGAGACAATTGATTTTCTAAAGGAGAGACGTCCAAAAAGTTTTAATAAAAACTCGAAAAAAAAAATTCTTTTACCTGTTCAAGTATTTTGCTTCTATTCATTCAAGCGATCACCATCAAGAAATAATCTCAAAAATATCTGTGTGTTAAACTTATTGTCTCAACTTTCCAGCCAGTTTTTTTCTACTGACTTTAAATACACTTAATTTACAATGTTTATGTGAAAATACAAAGTTTCGATCTGCGTTAAATTGACTATTGATATATAGATATATCTTTAAAAGTTGACAGCACTATTTTTAACTTAATCTGTTTTATTACAAAGTAAGATACGAAAAGATCACTATCATTTTTGATAATGCATACAGTTGTAATCGATTTTGCTTTCTCTTTAAATTCTTTTGGATTCATCATAATGAATTATGCTGATGTTACTAAAGTTTTGCGTGCGAATGAGACACTTTCGACAAAAAAAAATCAAAATAAAGAATTTTATCGATGAATAGATTTCATAGTTATTAAAGCACTTTAAAAGTTTCAATGAAAATACATTGCTTTTTTTAAAGAATACACTATTTCTAAAACGAAATATATACTAAAGAAAGATACAATAGTTGAATCTACTTTCTCAAGAAAAATAAGCCCGCTTTTATTTTAACTTTCACGACATTCTCATGTCTCTATTCCTATTATAATTTCTTATTCTTTTTTTTTTTGGGTTCAATAGTAGTCATAATATAAACTCGAATAGCTCTTTCATTCTTTATCGATTAGTGTTTATCAGAGATCTTCCTGACCACGGTGTGTTTCTGGATAGCAGTCACAAAGCACCTGGTCATGATTACGAAAATGACTTCTGTATGATCTTGATATTTGTTATGATCATGGTATAGCTTCTTAGTTGTAAAAATAAATCGAAATTTAAGGATTGTTTAACTCAGTTTTAATAGTTTTTGGAATTTAAATTAATAAAAAAATAAATTAGAAATTTTCTTTTCTAAATTGATGATCTATTAAATCATCACGATAAATAATAATAAGACTTTTATGAAATTTATTCTTGGCATTGATTAAAACTCTTTGTAGCCATAACCAAATCAATTCTATTTGTTCGTACATTCTGAGTATTATATTTATGTTTAATTAAAAATCAATTCATTTAATCAAATTCTCTTTTAGAAAACTGATTTTAGATGTGTTCGATGATAAATCTTTTTTTAACAACTTAATTTACTTTGAATATAGCTTTTCGCATGTGCTCGCAATTCTTTTAAGAACAAAAACTCACATTCTACCATTTGTAGTGAGATTGTTGTTATAACAAAATAATCTGTTTTTTTTTCTTATTAAAACTTTCGAAAATCACTTTTTCAAATACTCAATCATTTTATTTTATGTTCATGAATTCATCAACTTTATAATTAACCATATATTTTTAAGAAAAGCAATTTATTATATAGCGAATCATAATAACAAGACACTTATTCACAGTCATAAGAACTTAGTTATAATTTTCTAAATGTAAACACAGTCATGGTCATGCTTAAGCGTAACGGTAATCATGACCGTAACTACTTTAAAAGCATCCAATATCGACGTATCTCCATATTTCACAGAGAACACCTATCGGTATGCCACAGTGAAATGGCAGTCAAAAAAAAAGTCGACTGTTTAAATATCAAACTACCGCCATTTAGTTGTTGGTACACCGACAGTTTTTTGATCGCGTTGAATTGCATTGGTTTACAGTTAAAAAATAATCATTTTTTTATTTTAAAAGATTATCTCATAGATTGATATATTTTAGTATTCCTGTTGCGGTTGCATCAGATTTGATTCATTGTTTCGTACGATTGACAACTCAAAGTGATAAAAATTATAAAGATCGTGAACAATTACAACAATTAAGTAGACTTGATGAACCAGCACTTTTTGCTGTACAATTATTGCATAGATGGTTTGTATAGAAAAAAAAAATTATAATTTATTCTTTTTTTAATTAGTTTTATTATTATTATTAAGGACTGTAAGAACATGTGTTCAATCATCATTTCCAATGAAACCTATAAAAATTTTTCAAGTCAATGTGTATGACTTATTCAATTTATTTTCAATCTTTATTTTTTATAAAAAAATCTTATTGTTTTGCCTTACTTTAGAGCTGGATATGTAAATCCATTACAACATATGCGTGGACCAAATGAAAATGTCATAGAAATGGCACGTTCAAAGGTGAGAGAAAGTATTCAAGCATTAGAAGTTTTATTAGAATGCACATCAGTCGTACGCATACCTATAGATGCGTGTTTTGGTTTAATTGATATTGAAAATGGTTTAGTACCATGTGATTGGTCTCGTACACAAGTTTATCCACTTGTTGAATGTCTTGCACGCGTAAGAATTTTTAATTATTATTCTAATTATTATAAATACATAATAAAACATATTGAATAGATTGCTTATGATCTTGGTTTAATATATTTTTATGAACAAAATTATGTTAATGCTTATACAATGTTTCGACGTGTTAATGATTTACGAAATCAATTAGAATCAACAAATTATTTTTCATCACTTGATGGATATTTAATATCACTTCATTCCATGAATCCATCTATGGAACAAAATCTTTTAAATAAATCTAAAGATCGTTTTCTTATGGGTATACCACCACCACGTGCTTCTGTTGAAGTAATAAAAAATAATAATAAAATTTTTATAGTCAATATTATTCAATTATAATTAAAATTTAGGATTATATTTCATTATTAGCAGAAGATAATGAAAGAAAAGAAATGACTATGGCAGCTCGATATAGATTAGAAGAACGTCCTGAAGTGTAGGATGTTCTTTTTTTTTTTTCTTCTTCTTTGTATTGTATTTCTTTGATCATGTAGTGGATCACAACAATATAAAATTGTATGTTCATTTAATCTTATTCGATCTTTACTCGATGGTAAACACATATCAAATACTCAATATGCATTTGATTATCTTGAAACAGTAAGAAAATAGTTTTTCTTTTCTCTCTGTCAATGATTAACCTTTTTCAATAGGCACTTCAACGATTAAAACAAGTTACGCCAAAACAACGATTATTATTGAACAGTTTTTTAAAGTATATTTATTATTAACAGTAAATTTAACCATAAAAATTATTTTATTTTCCTTTTTTTAGAATTCATTTTTATAACTTAACAAAAGGTTTACAAGAACAATTACGCATGGACAAACTTGCTCATCTTGTTGGTTCAGCATTTTCCATTCCAAATTGGCATTTAAGAAAACATCAAACAGTACAACGATCTTATTTACTCGAAAGACCTAATGGTATTTAAATAATAATTCATATAACACGTTTGTTCGCATTACTGTCGGTATTCATAAGAAGCACCAACGTACTGATAATTGATTACTGATCAGGGAACAATCATCAGTATAGCGCGGTACAATGGCAGTTATAAGAAAATCAACTCTTTAAGTATTAAACTACCGTCGGTTAGTTGCCGGTGTACTGACTGTTTCTTTTTGTCAGTATCTCTGGTATAGTGCAAACTATACTAAATGGTCTATTGATGGTTTTTTCCTGGTTTGAATCATACGAAAAGTGTTTTATCTAGGGTGAGAGCCGAGAGATTGAGTTCCCCCTCTCAAAGTTTAAAATCGTGCTTTTGAAAGAGAAAATCTGGATAGAACTCTGATAGAAAGATAATAAAATTATTTTTTTTTTCAATACTTAGGTTCTGTACAATTCAAATGTCAAACATGTCTACTTCATTCTTCAGAACCTAATATATTATTAGCAACTATTACAGAATTAGATAATACAAAATTACCTCAAATATTTAATGAATTATTTCCACCGGTAAAATTTGTTTTAGTTTGAAGCTTTTAAATAATTATTTTATTGTTGTGTTTTAGTCAATAATGCAAACATCTCTTGATCAACCATTGAATATGATTATGAATACAAATCATTTACTTGGACAAATAATTCGTATTCTTCATGAAAAAGCTAAACGTGCAAAATTCTATAAAGTAAATAACAAAATTAAAGATTCATAATATTATTTTATTTTTATTTAAGAATTATACTCAAAGTCGTCTATTATTAACACAAGCTATTGATTTTCTTAGTCCACTTCATCATCAAGATATGTCTATTGGACAACTTATTAAATATCTTCATTATGATCGATTATTATTTGATTTATCTGAAGCAATATCAAAACAAACATATCTTGATAATGAAAATAATTTATGGGAAAAATGTCAAAGTTTTCTTACAGAAAATCATTCAGAAAATGGTAAATATTTCATTTTTCTAAAAAGAATATAATTATATAAGGCACCTTAGATAGACATGGATTAATAATCATTTTGATAGTTAAATTTTTCTTCGTGAAGTAAGAAGAGAGAAGTTCGTTTTCCTTACAAACGCGGTTAAGTTCTGCGTAAAAAAGAGGCTTTACCTACTTCTAGAGGCATTACCAGAAAATCTTCGTTTACTCTAAGGACATAATCAAGAGGCTGAGTCCTCCTCTACAACTTTCACTCTTCGCTAACGCTCTGTCTATTTCTATTGATGTATTCTCATTGACGAAAATCTAATAAATTGCCAAGAACTGATTAGAAAAACATTGGTTTGGACAATCTCAAAGATAAAAAAGTGTGATTTTTCATCTAACACACTTTGAATAAGGTAACTGTTTTTGAAAACTATTTCAAATGTAGTTTAATGTACTACATGTTCTTTGATCCGGAAAAAAATGAATGTTCTTCATTTAGAAAAAAGAAAGATTTCTCAAACATAAAATAATTTTGTTTTGCTATCTTTTTTTTGAAAGTTTTTCAACTTTGAGATATATCTACCAAATAAGAGAAGAATAAGATTATTGTTTTTAGGTCAAAAAAACATAAAGTAGATTGAACTAACTGTCAAACAAAGTTATATTGTTTGAACTACGTTAGACAGGAAGTCGTACGTTCTTTTGTCTTTGAAATTATTAATTACGGTCTAGAATAAAATTCTATAGTATTGATGTAGATTCATGTCGAAATAACAAGTTTCAATCTGAATACAAAAACAAAATCATACTTGCTGTTAATTTCAATATGTTAAAATTAATTGAAAATACTGTAAATATACATCAAAAGAAATATGTTCTATGAAAATAGATCTATTTCATTTTATTCTTTTTATATTATAAGAATAAAGAATTTCCTTTAATTATTTTCAAGCTTGAAATCTTCGATTAATTTCACTTGGATTAATCATTTAAATACTTCATTTTCTATATTTAGATATTAATACAGATCTTGTACGTGTTGCATTAGCTTATGCATTATCTCGTAATGAAATTCAATTTATACAATCTTTATTGCCAGCAATACGTCGAACTCGTCCTTATCTTGAATTAGCTAAAACTTTTGCACGTATGTTTTTTTGATGAATATTCTTTTGTTTTTTATTAATATATAATTTATAGGTTTATTAAATAATGAAAATCCAACACAAATACGTCCTGAATTTGCTCGTGAATTATGGGATCGAATATTAGATATATTATCAGAAAAATCACAAGGACCTGTAGGTAATAAACAATCAAGAAATCGTCATCAACAATCAAATTCTTTAAATGATAAATTGAGTGTTGTTGATCTACAAAAATTTCTTATTAATATTCATCATCCAATATTACTACAAATTATATTTTCACTTTTATCACGTCTTTATTCATTTATACTTGTTGAACAATCACATGTAGATATTTATTCTGAATATTCACGATATTGGCCAACATCAATTGATAATAGACAACGTTCAATACGTATATCAACAGTAGCACAAATTATTCAAGTTATATTTGAACATATTCAAACATTAAAATATTTACCTATACAAATAAAATCTTCATTATATCGTACACAAGCTGATATTTATTTAACATTACAACAATATACACAAGCTATGCATGCTTATATTGATGCAATATCAATTGAAACAGCGATTTTTTCATCATCAACAATTAATCAACCAGATGATATGATGATTAGAAATATGATTAAAGCTGCATTACAACTTGGTAAAACTTAGTTTTTGTTTTATTTTGATAAGATCATCAATTATTTGAAAGTTATATGATTTTGAAAAGAAGAAAGAAAAATCTAAGAACGTTTCTATTCATAATAATCGAAAATTAATCGCATGATATCTTAAATAATTTAATCAAATAAATCTACATAGAAAAAGAAACAATGTTGATCTTGAGAATTTGAGTTCCCAAAAGCTTACTGTTGTCCTTCTAATGTAATTGATAGAGAGGGTTGAGTAATTCTTCATTCGGATTTATCTGATAACCTCGAGACCAACAATCGAACTCTTATCCACAAGATCTTTCTACACGATTTACTCTGACAATCAGTTGTCTATTATTATACATTCAATGAACCTTAAACGTCATTAGAAAGTATCATCAAAGATTCTTTTTCTTGTCTCTTCTTCAATCTTTCGTTAACTCACTATTTGTTTTCAATATCAAACATTATCCTATTTTCTTTTTTGTTATAACAAAACAAAGGAATATCTTTTTTGATTATGATCAAAAACATAGAAGAAAAAGTAAATGCAAGTCAAGTGAAAAAATTCGTGATTAATTATGAATAAAGCAAACAAACAGTCTTATGTTGTATTTTTTTTTTCTTTTGGTTAGGTTATCATACACAAGTTGCTTGTATATCTCAATTACTTTCAACACCTGATTATAATATTATATTTAAAACATTACAAGAAAATTATATGAATGATGATATTGATGATTATTATGAATGTATTTGGGATTTAGCATTGTTAGAAAGTTTAATTAGTAAATATTAAATTATACTTTTTTTTTGAAAAACAAAACCACTAATTCTTTGTTATTGGTAGATAATCTGAACATACGTGGATATGAGGATAAAAAACGACTAGCTGTATGTTGAATATTAAAAAATAATACTTTTAATTATTTGTTTTGTTTTGTTTTCTTTTTTTTAAGATTCGAATATGTAAACAAAAAGATTTAAATGGAAATAATTCTGATGAAATTCGTTTTCGAATGATACGAGTTAAAAAAAGACTTTTATATAAACAATTACTTGCTCATTATCTTTTACCTCATTGTCGTTTATATCGATCACGAGCAATGATGAAATTTCATTATCAACAAATTAATTTTGATTAGAAATTAAAACAAAAAAAATAAAATAATAAAATGTACTTTTTTTTTTCGTGTTTGTTCATATTAAATTATGTGGAAATAAATAAACCCGATAAAAACATGACGAATTTTCATAATCTCTACATTTTTACAAAAGAAGTACACATCAGCAACATTTAACATTTATTATAAAAATTTTAATAGAGAACAAATAACGATGCCACAATCATTTGTGCCAAAAATAAACGTTTTGTTGTTTCATTTTCTTTTCTCTCTGTTCTCTAATTCATCATCATGGACATGCAGTTGTTGAAACATGACGCAGAACAAACGAACAAAACTGAAACCTTTCGTACTCAAACGGTACCATCAATAATACGACCATTTACTAAACAAACGATTTTTACTTTGCCACTTTCTTGTTTTCATTTTCTTCGTTTTCTTTTTCAAGTCATTGAACGCAATAGCAGCCAAGTATTACGGCTGTTGATATTTTAGTCTATTTAACATACAATGAGTGGTCTTTTGTTTGGTCTACTGATATTGTGTCGCATATCGAACAAACAATTGGAGATAGAGACAGACAGACAGAGAGAGAGAGAGAGACACAGAGAAAAAAAAAGCCAAGAGAAAATAGCAAATCGCAGAACATACATATTGTCATGTCTGAGATGCCTATCGGATAAAATGACAATTATATTCAACGAATAAAGTAAGTTGAATGCCACATCAAGCAGATTGATACAAAAAAAATAGTCAAAAAACGTTTTTCTCATGCATAATCGATGTCTTTTTTGATTGCATTTTTCCTTCATCTTCTACAAATGAGAAGAGAAAAATAAACTTGGAATGTTTTGTCAGCTTCAAGTAGTTTACCTCGTTTTTTCTTTCCTCTTATGAATCGTTTTATTCTATGTGACAAATGAATAAGACTTCATAGAACTTGATTAAAAAGCAAATCATATATTTTCCTATGACGAGTATTATATATCTATCTATTTGTATCTCACTTAATAAATATGATTTCTTATTAAGGATGTTTTTGTGTTTTTTACTCAATCTTTTTTTGTATCCAGGAAATGAAAAAAACTTATAAGAGATACGAGATGTAAGATATTTTACGCATTCGAAGAGCATCGTCTAAAATTGATGTAATGGAATTTTAACTCTATCATCATTTTTTTTCCTATGTCCGATGAACTCTTTCTTTTACTATTTGCTGTGTTTTTTTCTTCTCTCTTTCTCGCTCTTTATATTCAATTTTTGTCGTTGCTCTTTCATCCTATAAAAAGAGAACAGAACACACGAGACAATTTCGACCATTATTCTCTATGTGTCTCTATTATTACTTTTACTGATAGTGAACACTCTTGTCTATTACATTTAACATACATAAGAAAAAGATAATCTTTCATCATCATTACAGGTCGCATAGCTTTAATCCACTAATGACAAGTTCGAATAAAGCTCGTCGTTATCTACAGCATCATAAGCAGCACTCAACAGAATCAAATAATAGTCAACATTCAGTCACACAATTACTAGTTGCTGATTCAACATCATCTACTACTACAATGCGTAAATTTAGAGGTAAAACTCAACAACAATCATCAATACCAGTATCAATACCACAAATTTGTGTTAATAACAATGATGATGATGATGATGATGTTGATAATGATGACAATCGACATGTTGCTATACTTAATGAATTTGATCAAGTTTTAGAAAATGAATTAAAACGTGCATCGATTTCACGTACATTATCACTTAAACAAAATGACGTAGCAGGACATATAGAAATACCAATTAATCAACCACGAAGTTTTTCATTTGCACTCGGTTCAAAAACAAATTTACATGGCGAACAACATGACGATAATCAATCAATGAATATATTACCATCTAAAACAAGAAAACTATCGGCAACTTCTAAGTCAAGCTTGTCAAAAGAGACATTCTCACGTCTATTTCAATCACTAACATTTCGCTCGGGGAATCATTCAACGTCAAAAATATCACTTACAAAAACGGATTTTAAACATCAACAACGTCCATGTCTAGCTTGTCAAAATTATTCAAATCTTGATTTAATACCTAAAAATAAAAAACGTCCATCAATATTTGGTGTTCTTGTTTCAAAACTTAATACATCATCATCATTAACAGCAACATCTGGAAATACATCTAAATGTTGTTCCGTATGTAAAAGACCTTTATCAAAATCAATTTCAAATAATGATGATAATCAACAATTATCATCATCAAAAAATCTTCATGATCAACAACAATTACTTTCACGTACTAAAAGACGTCAAAGTCTGCCATCATTATTACATAATCTTTTAGAATCATCATCATCATCTGCACAACATCGTCCATCATTTTCAACAGCATTAAATCATGTTGTACTCGACAGTGTCAACCATGAACAACAACAATCTTCAACATTATCTCAATCATCTAATTCATTAACAGAGTCAGACGATAGTAATGATCACAATAATATCAATAATAATAATAACAATTCATTACAACAACGACAGCGCATCAATTATGATGATTCATCTCAGCTTACTGAAAAGGTATGTCGACTAAGATGAGCTTATCATTAGTCACGAAAATTGTTTGTCTAAAAGCGGCACGCGTGCTTTCAACAAAACTACGCATATACATATATATACATACATAGAGCGAAGGTCAAGTGTTAATACTGTTGGTTTCAACAAAAAAAAAGAAAGGAAAGTTTATTATTGTTTGACCCTGATACACAAACGTAGATACTATTGTCGAGACAGCAATAATGATGAGTGTCGACAGTATCGATTTGTTATTGTTAATAGTACAGAGCCGATTGTCTGCGATTATTTTCAGTGAGAATAGGAACAATGATGGCAATGACATTTTCAGAGTGTAATGATATAGCTAAAACATAGTCAATACTGATGGTCAACCCAGACGGAATGAATGAATAAATGAGTGTGTGTGTGTGTGTGTTTTTATCACGGTCATGTCAGGCGTTGCATCGTATTACACACACACATTTATGAGTACATATGAGAATCACATCATTGATAGTTTCTGACCTTTTTTTTCATTCTTTTTCTTCATATGTCTGAATGGCATGAACCGTCTGTCGATTTCTATTGATGATGATTACCTATTATTATTATTCATCCTTGTTCTGCCATACTCGTCAACAATGTTTGATTTTCTTTTGTCTAAAAATACTTATAGTCATGGTAATAGTGATACTACTTGATCATCTCTTTCATTCTCTGTCTTTTCATTGAACTGATTTGAAAGTGCTTGTCAAATCACATTTTAGTTTAAAAACAAACGAACAAAACAAAAAAAAACTGAAATTAAAGATATGTAAATTAAACTTTGATTTGAAGTCTATTCAATAGGCAACAAAAAAAGGCACACTCAAAAAGAACTTGAATGATGATGATTTTCTTCGATCATCGGTGATTTATTTTTCTTCTCTCTTAAATGTGATTCTTGTGTGACGAAAATCCATTTTACATACAGACCATCACATGGCACGTCCGTCATTGGTATGGACGCCCTAATTCAATCATAACATTGTCTACACGCATGCATGTTTAAATAATAAGAACGAAAAGCAAACAGCATCAATTTTTAATTCATATGCTGTTCGTTTACTAAAATAAAGAACTACCTCATTAAACACATGTCTGTTGATTTGTTAATATCTGCCTTTCATTTTTTTTTTTCATCTTAAATTGACAATAATAATTCTAAAGAAAAAGGAAATGTCTGTCATCTGACCTTGTTTTTCATATAAGCCCATCATCAAATGAAATATGCGTATTTATTTTATATATTCTTGATTTTATTAAATCGAGACAGAATCTTTGATTAAAATAGAAAAAAAAAAAACTAAGTCATTATATTCAATGTTATTTTAATTGAATTCAAGGAGATGAAATACAAACAATATTCATATAGGTTAACACTCGAAAAAAAAAATGAAGACTTCTTGTTACAATAAAATGCGACAAGACGAAAAGAGATTGAATATAAAAAATACATGTGTTACATTTCCATGTAGATGAGAAAAAAACAAAAGAAAAGTTGTTTTTTTTTTATTCATTAATTTTAGTATGGCAATAAAGATGAGAATGACAATGACACGGTATTTGACAATGGTAAGTACATTGTAGCATAAAATGAAAGAATTTTATTTATCTTATTTTATTTTTTGAATAAAATTTCGTCAGGTGAATCACATGATTCAAATATTATGAATAGTAACGATTTAACAAATGATCATAATACCAGTCAACAATTTTTACATCCTCCTGAGTAAGTTGTTGTTTTTTTATGTATAATATATATATATATATCTTTGGTAAATAGCAATGTTTCATTTCGATTCTCTTTTTTCTTTACAGCGAGACAATAAATGAATAGGACATTTGATATAACAAAATATATTTATATATTTCATCAAAAACAGTTTTATCTTACAAAAAAAACAACGAAGTCTATAATATTATTCATATATCTCTCTCTAAAGAATAATCAAAAAAAAACAGAAAACATTTTTTTGTTTTGTTTTCTATCGTCTATAATCATTTTTCATCTTGGATAGTTCCATTTAAAATCTATAAATTTATCATCTGTAATTATAATTATAATTGTTTACTTGTCAACACCGATACGATTGTGATAACAAATATAAAAAGAATTCATATTCTAATTAATCTTGCTTCTTCTTTTTATTTTATTCTCGTTGTCCACATCGATACTAAGTAAATAAACTTCACTATTTGTATAGTGACTGTTCACACCTCATATCATATGATGATGAAGATAGTGAGAAGAGAATAGAGAGAGAGAGAGAGAGAGAGAAAGAAAGAAAGAGACAAATATGTAATCGAAAGAATCTATAGCTGATTTTTGAATCTTCTAAGAAAAAAAAAAGAATTAAAAAATAAACCATCATTTAATATATCAATTTAAAGCTATTTTGATGTTAACAATGCCAAGGTTTGCAAAAGAATTAAAAAATTTTCCTTGTTCTTTTTATTAATGCTTAAAAACTAAAAATATATGGTTTCTACTCCTTTTTTTTTAGAGAAAAAACACGTAGTTTATTAGTCAATGTTTTTCGTACACGTCGATCAAATATTGCTTTGGATTCACATGATGTAAAGAAAATTTTTCTTTGTTTTCTTTTGAATTGTTTTAATTTATGTTCTTTTGTTTTTATATTTAAATAGACTAATATTGTTGGTAAACAATTAAGTGCTTCAGTTATTAATCTTGCTACATCAATGGGTATAAATCGTCGAAATAGTGCAATATCAACAATTAATGAAATAACAATTGATCAACGAAAACATGCTGTATCAGAAGAAAATTTACTATCAATAGTATGTAGAATAATTGCAAGACTTTGTTTTTTTATTTTGTAAATATAAAAAACCTTCGATTTAATTGGCTTTTATGTACGGAGAGTTTATTTATTTGTAAATGGATTGTTTATTGACAAGGACATATTATAGATGTATGTTTGATTAGATAAAAAAAAAAATTTTTTTCATTGAAAGAAGACAGAGTTTAAATTAATGTGTAGACGACTAATAATGCAAATTGAATATAGACGATATGTGAGAAATGTTTGACCTTGTGAATAATTGCCTTTATTCTATTTATTCAATTTTCTTATCTTAGGATAATACATATATTTATTTTACTAATATTAATGGACAAAATTTTAAAGAACAACTTAAATATTCAACTATATCTGAAAATACAACTTTACGGTACAAAAATTAAGCAAAAAAAAAAAGAACTTATAAAATAATTTCTTCAAATTTTTCTTTCTTTGTTTTTCTAGAGAAATGATAATAAAACTTTTCGAAAAATATAATCTTTCAATGGAAACATATAATATTTGCTTACGAACTGCACCTACACTACCATTATCCTTGGATCAACCAGTCAAACATCTTCTATTGGATGATCTTGTTGTTACAGGTATAAAAAAAAAAAAAAAATTGATTATGCAATTTTTTCCTTCCTTCCTAATTAACGATAAAACCTTTTTAGTCTTTTCCCTTCAAACAAAAAAAAAAGAAGTCACTTGACAGACACTTTTGCAATCGATGTGTATATATGTATATGTATATGTATATATATACAAAATGATGTAACATATAGAGTAATCTTGATATGTCATCGCTGATGTTACTATGTTCAAAGTTGAAGTTATTCTGTAAAAAAAAAAATTAGACGAATGAGAAAATGATAATATCATTTGATGACATCGATTGATTAGAATTTGTTTATCGTTGATCCATAACAAAATCTACTCAAGGAAAAGGCGAAAAAAAAAAAAAAAGAAAAAACTTATTTATCAATATTGTTGTTATTGTCGTATATAGTTCTTACATAATTCTCTCTTCTTTTTTTCTCTCTTCTTTCTTCGATTAGTATTCGTTGCTTCTTGCATTCATTGATTGCGCATCAAAAGAAAAACATACACAATCTTTGATAAAAGTCCTTTTGTAAAAAAAAAAAAAATGACTCATGAAGACACTTCACAAGTTCGTCGACTATCTATCTATCGACATTTATCCGATGTATTAAAATTAAAACGTAAATCACTTTGTTCACATAGTAAAGATTCTATATTATCTTCAACAACTACAACACCTTCACCTTCGTCGACATTTACATTCTTTTGGAATTGTGCATTAACTGAAGTTGATACATCATCAAAAGAAGATTGTAATAGTTTATCTAATAAATCAATAAATCATACTGATTCAATAGATGTTCATCGTTTACTTAAACAAAAAAGTATTAGTTATGATGATTTAGTTTTTATATCATTGAATGAAGATGAACAAACAATATCTACAAATACTATTGATGATAACTCGAAATCCAATGGTCTCTCTCTCTCTCTTTCTTTTTCTTTTAAAAATGAAAAGAAAAAGCAACAAAATAAAAAATAACAATCTACTTTTTCTTATATTTAGAAACAACGAATCGATTATTAGCTAAACCATCAGGTGGAAAAGAAAGAAATGAAAAAAGAAATTCAATGGGTTCAACAATTTTATCATTAGTAAGTTATCACAACTATATATTTATATATATATTGAATAATATAGTAAATTAGCGTATGTCGACATATATATATGTATTACTCTTAAGTATTAGATAAACACTTGACAGCCGATAATAGACAATCAAGGAATAAGACAAACACCTGTTTGTCATCATCGAAATCAAGGCAAAAAGAACCAAAAGCATATTAATCGGTGTATATGATCGATATCATATTGTTAGTTTTCTTTTTTTCTTCTATTATTGATAATACTAAAAAACAAAGAAAAAAAAACTGTGACCTTCTTATCATGGTTTTATAGACATAGTAACAGACATATCAAAGTAATTTCTTTTCTCTCAGATTTTTTTCTTATTAATGGATACTTATTTTTGATTATCGACATTAATCAATAAATAAATACTTTATTGCCTACTGTCAATAAATCCATTGAAGTTATTGTCTGTTTTATTTTTATTTATCTCGAATTCCGATGATTAGCCTCATTTACAATAAGGCTCTATATGGTATTCAGAGATCTGAAAAAAAAGACAATTACTTTCTATAAATAATTTTTGTTATTTATTAATTTTAATATTTTCCAATGTAATATTCAAGAGATAAATCAGTTGAAAAAGAAAACAGATTCAATTTTAATCTTATTTGTTTTTTTTTTTTTTTGTATCATAGAATTCAAAATCAATATCAAAACGTTTATCAACTCATTGTATGATGTTAGATAATGATGAAAATCAAGATTCCAAAACATCAAGTCAACAATCTAGTCGAACAAATAAAACAAATCGAACAAGTTTATTTACTAGTAGTATATTTACCCGATAAAGAATATTGATATCTTGCATGTAATTAATAT